TAGATACTGGATTAAGTTTTCAGCGGTCACGGTAAAATTTGCAGTCATGATAACGGCAATGTTCGATCAATGTGTTGAGCCTGTCTTCCGGTATACATCGGTATGGGAAGGTAAACACTGAAATAGTTACGTTCGGGGTTCATGATTTTATGAAGGTTATTAAGTAACTTTCAGCTTTATTTCATAAAATGCGTCTTTTGCTAAATTTGTCCGTAAAGGGAATGGTGATAATCTTTTCTATGAAATACGTACCGTTACGGAAGTCGATAAGTTCGACCTCACTACTGTATACAGTACAGAAGTACCCTAAATTCGTTAGTGTATGTTTTCGGAGAAGTCGGTGTATCGTCTCTGATATGGTGCATCAAACATCAGTTTTATTACATTTTCGATTTCCATACACGTAAAGCATCGGTTATTTATCGTGATACTTAGTCATATAAATCTGCAAAATATACATAAAATGTAAAATGATAAAGACCTGTAACCTCCTTAACAGCTGATAATGGATATAATATATAAATATAGATGCAGAAAATCGAACTGACAAATCCTTATCTATCTCTTTAACTGTCAGCTAGTGAAAAAGAAAATTCTTCATTTTGTTCTAGTAGTAATGTGTAAAGTGTGATCATTCCCAAAGAAAGACCATCGATCAAATCAAGAAACCAGCACACAAAAATTAAAGCAAATTATTTATTTGCATACAAACTGTTTATGACAAATTAATGAATACAGTGTGTACACCAACATCATGAAGGCAAAGACTTGCGTGTAAATTAACTGGATGGACTTGTAAAAGCCTAAGAAAACAAGACTGATCTCCAATAACACCATGTGACACAGTGGTGACTGCAATTTGGAAACATTTACCATCTGAACAAGTCCCAGGATTCAAACAGACGAATACAATAGACCTTAAGACATCAGGCACAGCTGGTTTCAGTTCACACCCTAGACACATATACATGATTTCATTTTTTATCTTGATGTCAGTGAATTCACCAGTTCCTGTTTACTAGTTATAAATGAAAGTGTCTGGCAGAATATCCAGAAAAAAATAGGCTGTTGTGTCCTGCAAGGTTGTAGGAAGGAAACATGTTTCTTCTCTCGAGAATGGCCCTGAGTAGGACTTCCACAAACTCTGTGAATAAATTTTACATTGAATTAGAGACATTTTGTAACACAATTTCAGTATATTTTGTTTTGGCAACCATAATAATAATTTATCTTTGAAATCTGCACTAAAAAAGTAAATACTTTTGTCTTAACAAATGCTGAGAGGGAAAATAGATATGATGATTAAAAACCAGTGTCTTTGCAAACAAGACTTTGTGTTGACTCATTAGCTTGGGAAAAAACATTCAGTTATAGGAACAGTGTGGGTTTTTTTCAAACTGGAGTGCATGAGTTCAACCAAAGATTATTGATTGTCTGAATTATATTTACCATGTGTTGGTTTCTTGTTCACTGGCTTGGCCTCTTGGTTTAGGCTTAGGGGTAGCTGATTGCCCAGTTGTGTTCTCCAGTCTTGGTCAATTCTAGGGTATTTAGGTTGTTTTCATTGATGTGAAATGCTGCCATGTACATCCTAAAAATAGCATCAAAGTAGCATTTTTACATTTGCCAAAAACAAAACCCACAAAGAAATACGTTATCTGAATGAACATATTTCCCTGATTTCCCATTTTTGAAAGTGGGTTAAAAGTTACCTATATATACAGCTGCCATGATGTTTCTACAAGGGGTCCATAGAAACCTAAGTTTTATGCCAGTGCAGAGCAGTCATTTTCATTTTATTTATTGTACATTGCCTTAAAGAGCGAAAGAGTGAGATTCAACATTTTAATCATGCCCAAACACACACGCAAACACACACAATTCACATACCATTTTAACTTGGTAGGGGACCAGTCCCTGGTGGATAATTATCTGATATGACTTATTTTTTATTATGTTTTAATAATTGTGTGCTCTCTCTCACCACCGCACTCATATGTTGCAAGTTCTCATTTGTCCATGCCCACCCCCATCCCAATCCCTCCACACACACTCACACAACAAAACACCCAACATTCCGTCTCGGGAAATAGATGACTTGGCCCTACTGGGTAATAGTAACAGTGGCAGTGAAAATATATATCTGATCGAAAAGAGGACATGAGCGCAAATTATGACGTACTTTTCCATCAACTATTGCTTTATACAGCTAGCTAGTACTGGAGTGTTTATGTTGCTCCAAAACAACTACATCTTAAAACTCACCTGCAACCAACGTCGCGTCCGGAATGCAACTCTCTCGGTCTCAGTCCCAAGTTGACATTTCGATGAATTACATTATTGCGTTTGAAACCAAATCCTCAATTGAAAAGAATTAAATCCTGATTCCGACTTCATCCTGTCTTAATGTATTTATTTTCTTGACTAGTTACAGGAACGACCTTGCCTCTACGCAGCATACATTTTCCTGGAGTGAAGCGGTTCAAATCCCAAATATGATGTAGTAATCCGCATTGTGCGGTTCTATATTGGGAAGCAAAATATTGCTTAAAGTGTATTTTAACGACATTTTCATCTTTCAGAACGTGGGTAATAAATAGGATACAAAACTCGTTCCCCTTTCATATGAAGTTTATGTCCCGAGTGAAATAATTTTGCTTTGTCACGGGCTCGTGTGATATCCTATAATTATTCCGCTGAGGTCACACGGTCAACTACCACTATATCTGTGTCATGTCAGACTGAGTTGACATGGGTAACTTGTCATCGAGCTCGATCTCACTGAGAGTCAAACATCGTCATCACCTTCAACATCTCAGGCAGAGAGTCACTCAGTCACAACCAATCCCAGAACAATCACAAATACAAATCTAACGGTGGAACTTTATGAAGGCAAATTGGTCTTTGTATGAAACCTTGTGTGTGTGGAAAAATTAATTCCGGACAATTTTAAACATGTATTAGATCATATAGAGTTTTTTCAGTTGAGTTGAATGAAATTGCTGACCAGTCCTCTGTAATGCCTTATATTCGTAAGCCATGGTTCAATGTTGAATGCAAACAAGCAAGAATGTGTAGGAAGAAAGCGGAAAAATACTTCCGCAAAAACATAAAGAATGTTAAAATTACTAGTGCAAAGGCACGACGTGCTTATGAACAAAACAAGTCCCAGTCTTGGGGGAAATATGTCTCCACAATTAATTCGAGCAAAGCCATGTCTAAGGTGTGGATGGTGTGGAATAGGGTTCAGAAAAAAAGGCAAAGGTTTTAAATCTTCTGTTCACCATCTTAAAGAAGGTGACAAATTGATATCTGGTAAGTGTGATATTGCAAATCAAATTGGTGAAACGCTTTCCAAAAAACCCTCATCATCAAATTATGTCCTAAATTTTAAAAATATAAAAAATCGACAAGAAAAGATGAAAATTACTTTTGACTGTAATATCGGTGAAGACTAGAACGAAGTATTTTCATTACATGAGTTTCATATCGCCCTCAAGCAAGCTCATGCTATTGCAGCTGGTGATGATAACATTCATTACCAGTTACTGAAACTCTGAATCATGTCTTTTGACGTTTTTAGATATATTTGATTTCAGGGAATTTCCATCCTTCAAGGCACAATGCCATTGCAATTCCCATGCTGCTTTATATTTCTTTACAAGTAGAAGTCTGCAAAGGTCACTTTTCAGTTATTGATTATGACGTGTAAAGACGAATTCACATTTTGACAGAAGTCAGAACATGCAATACATGTGTCCTTTGGGTCCTATGTGTGAGTGTTATCAACATTAAGATGGCTGTTTTCTTTCCTTGCATTCCATTAATCAGTTTTCAAAAGAATTTAACAACACATTCAAATAAGGCTACAAATTCTGGCCAGCTGAATGATGGAAACATTCTTTCCCCAACCTGTATTTTAGTAAGGGTCGTTATAGTTTGGTGTGTTGGGCAAAAGCACTATTTATGGCTCCTTTGCCCTCAACCACCAGACTCCCGTCGCCCACCGACACAGGGCTGACTGAGTTTGATGTGACGGCGCTTTTAACAATATTATAGCAATAGGAGGGCAGGGGACAACAGAAATGGGCTTCGCTCATTGTACCCATGTGGGGAATCGACCCTCGGTCTTCGGCGTGATGAGCGAACGCTTTTACCACTAGGCAACCTTCCATCCCCACCGTCATAGGTGCGCTACCCACGGCAAACAGGCCAATTTACTCGCCTCTTACAACCGGCTGTCATCAATACAGACATCCCTCTGTCAGTCACGTCGCTGTATGACGTATAGTCCGGACCCATCCCATCTTGTTTCATATCTAGTTTAAACGTCGTAATTATATATTTTTTGGACTTGGTGGTGTCGCGTGACATGACATTTTTTTAAAACTGGACCATATCTGATCACCACATCAGGACCTATATTAAAGTAGGTACAATAACCTTTCCAATGAGCCATAATCTGTCCATGCAAGAGACGGGGGCATTAAACTCTTTAATTTAGCCAATTTTCGAAAAGTCGCTGCTCTACTAATACATGTGGATGGTTATCAGCAATGACATTGTCGATTCCCTCTTTGAACATTCTTCTTAAAGAAATCATGTTCCCCAATGGCATAAATATCACCAGGAATAGAAATAAACTCTTGTAACGATTTTCTTTTCGAAATGAGCTGCATATTTTCCTCGGTAAAGTTCTAGATACCTGCCACCCGTGAAATGGTTGTCTAAAAACAACAGTTTGTGATATCTTGTAGGATGATTTTCCTCTTTACAGTTGGATCATCACGGGTCACGACTTTTATTGGTACCATGTTTAGCATAGCAATTACAATAAATAGACCAATGTCTAAGGCAAGATCACATTACTAGGGATCTTTGGGACTTAGGAGTACGCAGTATTTGATTTGCTTTCAAACGTTCTGTTAATCTAATCTCATTCAATGGCTTTGTTCAGTATTTGTTTCTGTAACGTCCTCTCTTTGTTTGTTGTTGAACAGAATGTGGCTGTCGCCATCATCGTTATCGCCATTTCAATCCTGCCGAACTTCAGTTATGGTGAGATATGTTCTTCATATACATAGTAATTTTGGAAAACAATATATTACCCATTCTCTTCCCACAGAGGTTACTTGTCATATCTTCCTACGAACCTCTGTTCTAATACGGCCATATTTCCCAGTTCTCGTAAAATCCCTAGCGGCAAAAAAAGATCGCAACACGAATTATCTCCTTCTTTCTATCCAATCAGAACACGTGTTACATCGACTTAGATTCAACTTGACTAACACAAGCAAATGTGGGGCCACAAATATCCCCCACCTGCCGGGGACTTGTGTTGATGTTACACACAAGACGTTTAATGTCTAGCTTGTCCGTTGTCAACGAGGGCTATAGGGACGCCACTGATCCGCCATAACATGACTGAGTTCTGTCTAGAAGAAACGTTTGCGCATCGCGCAGGGGAAGAGGTTTAGTTTTCTCGAAGCATACGGAAATTACCGAGGCCTTGCACAACGTCGCTGATTGCGCCACAACTAAATCTGATTGCAACCAATCACGAATCCTGAACACTCGCACCATGAAAGGGCCGTATTAGAACAGAGGTTCGTCGGAAGATATGACAAGTAACCTCTGTGGGAAGAGAATGTATATTACCAAGAGTAAATGAAATATATATCGGTGAACTTGCAGACGTCATACTTTTATCAATGATGAAAGTAACGTGTAATATACAGAGAATTTGTCTCATATTTAGTAAAGGTTGGTTGTACATTGTAGTTGTAAATTATTTGTTCATATTGTATATTATATATTGTATATATTTTTATTCTTCCACGAAGTTCGTCACAAAATAGAAATCTTTATACATACATGGACGTGAAACATTTGAGGCCCTATTTTACGTCCACTTTTCATGCCTATTGTAAAGCATAAATAGAGTGAGTGAGTGAGTTAGAATTTAACGTCACAAAGCATAAATAGACATGTGAGGAGACTGTGCATTAAGATTTACTAGTCAAGTGACTTCCACAAACACGTGTATTATCTGGTTGATGTCATCAATGCGAACAAATAAGGAATTCGAATCCTTGGGTGGTTGTCCCCAGAAAATGCTAGACACGGATGTTGGTTGGTTGGTTGACTGGTTGGTAGTTTTACGCCGCACTCGGTAATATTCCAGCTATTTTTTTTTCTTTTCTGACATCTTGTCAGCGCCTAAGTTCCTTCCTTGAGAGGCTACCCGCGAAGGTCCGGGTTAGAATATTGGCCTTCAGTAACCCATGCTCGTCGTAACAGGCAACTAACGGGACCGGGTGGTCAGGCTCGCTGACTTGGTTGACACATGTCATCTGTTCCCAATTGAGCTGATCGATGCTCATGCTGTCGATCACTGGATTGTCTTGTCCAGACTCGATTATTTACAGACCGCCGCCATATAGCTGGAATATTGCTTAGTGCGGCGTAAAACTAACTAACTCACTCCTTGAGAGGCATCTTAGAAGTTGTAAAGATTAAGGAAAACCAGGTTCTTTGGATAGTCAGCTTCTTTATTGCAATGGGTGGGACGTTTCGGCGTAGGTACAAGCAAGTGATAACGGTGTTAGTACCAGTTACGTGTTTGTATGTGTATGGTACCTGACACAACCTAGTTACTTCAGTACAATAGAACAAAACAATGTTCTATCGTTTGAGCTTCTTTACTCCGATTGACATGGCGGAGGACAACAACTGTGTCGTAGTTCACATCAGTCAAAAGGGGCATAACTCGCATAACCTTACTAGACTGCATACCACATAACAGTACCTACGCCGAAATGTCGCACTCATTGCAATAAAGAAGTTGACTATCCATAGAACTTGGTTTTCCTTCAATTTGTCAGCTGTTGTATCACGCTCATCCGAACGTTTACTATTTAAGTCATTAAGAAATGTTGTTTAGCATTTACAATTCAATGTTTTAATTTGCATCATCATGGACTTTACAGCATCTCCATGTCGGTTGATGCCCTGCCACAAAGGACGCTGTATTAAGACATCAGCATTCAGCGCCGTTTGCAGGTGCAACACAGGATACAGAGGCTATAAATGTCACAGTGAGTAGAGAATTATTTCACTGTACAGTGACAAAGCGTCACAATTTGATGGCATTTGTATTTACAACACTATACCAAATGATTTCAACTGGCACCATAAGGTTATTTGTCATACACAATACCCTGATACCGATACATCAATATGACTAACTGTAAAGCAGATTTTTTGAATATATTGACACTGAAGAATCATCTGACAATAGATTGAAAGAACTGTGAGATAATATCATATCACAAACAACTTCTCCAAGGTATGCCGTCGTCCCTGCCGACTGTAAACATCTGTTCACCAAAACACCAATAATGTGTGAACATCATATTTCTCACACATGTATGCTTGCCACAAAAGGCGACTATGCTTGTCGCAAGAGACGACTGACGGAATCGGGTAGTCAGGCTCGCTGACTTGGTTGACACATGTCATCGATTCCCAATTGCGCAGATCGATGCTCATGCTGTTGATCACTGGATTACATACCGCCGCCATGTAGCTGGAATATGGCTGAGTGAGGCGTAAAACTAAACTCACTCACTCGAGCTCATTCGCACATATGTAATATACTAGCCACATAAAGAAACTGTGCACACAGAAAATGCCTTCAGAATTGGAATACAACACAGCAAAGACGAAATGATGTAGGCACTTTATAAGCTGAAGTATCTGACCTCAAGAAAATGTCAAAAGAACATGAACAATATCTGTAACGATGACGTCAAAAGTTCAAAATCGAGTAGGGGATCACACGACGAAGTCACAAAGTCAATAACGGGTATGACCACCGTGTGCGTGGAGCACAGCAGTGCATCGACGACGCATAGAGGCTATACCAAATGAGCATTGAAGGCCTGGGGAATGGTCTGGGACAGGGTCACTGCTGTCTAGAACCTGTGTCTGAGATGAGTCACCCGAATCCATCTGTCCTGTCTTGGCATCGTTACGTCGGGAACGCCCAGAACGTGGGTGGTCGGCGACGTCATTACTGTTTTGATAACGCCTGACCAATGCAGATATCGCGTTACGATGGCATTGGAAATGTGCTGCCACCTGTTGTTGGCTCATTCCTGCTCGAACCATTCCAATGGCTTCATGACGTTGAACGGATGTTAATCTTGGCATGATGTGCATGTGACTTCTTATGTGAATTTGTGATCGTTTGAATGAACAAAGATCAAGATTTCGACAGTGACAGCAATTCAGAGTTTCACATGTTGTGTGCAGCTGCACAGGCTGCACAGGCTGCACGTGCAGTAACAAATTGCAAGGTCATAGGCCACCGTCAATGACGTCACGTCGCCTGGCACTTGCATGAGCGTTTAATTGTCTCCAATACTTGCTATGTTCACAAATGTGTTTATGTATGAAGAAGCCGTGTGCCTATGTTTATATTTTCTGTGTGCACAGTTTCTTTATGTGGCCAGTATAGATATATTTTTTATCTTTTTTTCTCAGGCGGTGTTGCATAACAATATATTCAAGACGATAAGGCATAGGAGTTTGACCCAAGCTTACTAAAGTAATCTCTATTAATGATAGAAGTTTACTCTGTTAACATGTACTATACGGTGAGCTCCTACTCTATTAATTGGAGAGAGTGAGATTTTAAGCCGCTTTTGCAATGTTCCAGCAGTATCACGACAGGGGACACCAGAAATGGGCTTCATGCATGTACCCATGTGGGGAATCAAACCTAAGTCTTCAGCGTGACGAGCGAACGCTTTAACCACTGGGGCTACCCCATGTTGGTGGAGAGTTTATTCTTTCTAAAGTTGAAAATGATTCGTCTCGACAAGATAATTACAAGGTTAAAAGGATTGTTAATATTTGATTACCAACTATAAATAATACTTTCTTTATATATTGCTACCGAGTTTTGTGTTTTTGTAAAATATACAAGTTTACATCTGTTTCCAGATTGACCTAACTTTGTTGCATATAAATATAAATGTTATTTTTGGTAACACTTTCTCAGTGAACAACTAATTTCTAGTACGGACTTGGCTGCTTTGGTTAGATTGACACTGAGTCCGGGACTCAACCCAAAACAATACTGGAAAAGTGCCAACCTTAATATGACTTGATCACTTTCTAATTGACGAGACCCGTGAAGATCCGGGGTAGAATAGGTCTTCAGCAACCCATGTGCTTGCCATAACAAGGCGACTATCTTGTCGTAAGAGGCGACTAACGGGATCGGGTGGTCAGTTTCGCTGACTTGGTTGACAAATGTCATCGGTTCCCAATTGCGCAGATCGATGCTCATGCTGTTGATCACTGGATTGTCTGGTCCAGACTCGATTATTTACAGACCGCCGCCATATAGCTGGAATATTGCTGAGTGCGGCGTAAAACTAAACTCACTCACTCACTCTAATTGACGAATATGTTAGAGACGGTTGACTACTTTTTTTACTCAAGGCAAGAATGAGTGAAATTCATAAGGCAGTTCAGTGCAGCTGAGATATAACAAATATTTCTAAATAATCCTTTTCTTACATTACAAAGCTTCAACTCAGTATTGGTGCGGTGGGGTTGCCTAGTGGTGAAAGCGTTTGTTCGTCACGTTGAAGACCCTGGTTCGATTACCCACATGGGTACAATGTGTGAAGCCCATTTCTGGTGTCCCCCGCAGCGATATTGCTGGAATATTGCTAAAAGCAGCGTAAAACTAAACTCACTCACTCACTCAACTCAGTATTGATCTCGCTCGTGTTTTTTGTTGTTGCTTGTTTTGATTAGTTGATGTAAATGAGTGCAAAAAAGATCCATGCCATCCCGATGCTGTGTGTAGCAACACTAGAGGATCATACACGTGCACATGTCGTTCTGGATTTGAGGGAAATGGACGCACTTGTACAGGTAAGGTGTAGAAACAGCATGTTGCAACACCTTAGTTCTTGAAAGGCATTTAGAAGTTGGTTATGAATACACGACACATTATATTGATATCAACTTCTGTTTATTCTTTGTACGACGTTTTCGAGCTAATTTTCGCTCCTTAATGAAAACCTTGTTGAAGATTTTGCGACCATAATCATCTGTTTCACAGCTCGGCTTGAAGTAAAGATTTTGGCCAGGTAGAGATCAAAACATGTTCATCGTGATTGTGAAGTATCTGACTTAACAGGAAACTTTTCTTCAGACATCAACGAATGCGGTAAAAGACTAGCCGACTGTTATAACAATGAATATATATGTCACAAAGGACAGTAAAATATTAGCAAGATATAGTCTAAAAACTAACCGTTTTAATCATCAAAATATTATACGTAACATCAAGATTACATGTATCATTTGACCCGTGAAGATCCGGGTTAGAATTGGTCTCCAGTAAACCATGCTTGACGTAAGAGGCGACTACGGGATCTGGTGGTCAGGCTCGCTGACTTGGTTCACTCATGTCATCGTATCCCAGTTACGTAGATTGATGTTCATGTGGTTGGATCACCAGATTGTCTGATCCAGACTCGATTATTTACAGATTGCTCTCATATAACTGAGAGTGGCATTGATAGACAAAATAGCTATTTGTAGACTATCTTCATTAAAATACTGTAAATCATGAAATGAATGTGTCACGAATTTAATGCGAGTGTGAGAGTCTAGTCTTAAATGCGTCACGAATTTAATGCGAGCTCAGGAATCTGTGTTGATGATAAAATAAGACACCCTGAATCATTGATGTTGTTCTTTTTCTTTTCACACTTGTTATTTCCCAAATAACCTGAATTGAGGTTGTTAAGAAATGAGCTGACGATGTTCTCATTACGCTGCCATGTCTGATCACGTGATTGCTTGCTACTACTTGTCTTATGACAACATTTTTAAACGTAATCCGACTTGAAAGGCTTCGGTGGTTGAAGATTGACAGCAACTAGAGACAGATTACCATACCGGGGACCATCGGGACTTACATACGTTTTGGCATGGAACCTATCGGGATTTACAACATTCCTTCAAGTTCTGCCGCTAGCGATTGCACTCAAATTTAGCCATAATTAAAACGACAATTATACATCCTTTGGTTAAAAATCTTGTAGGCTTACATTTACAGTACGCACGGCTAATGATTTTACAGTACTTTTAACCTCATTTGAGGATACCGCCACTAATAATCTCAGACACATATTATACAGCATGGTATTTTTATATCCAGAACTGAGAGAAAAATTGCAATATGTAATAAGGATTGGATCCGGAAGCAAACTATCAAAAGAATGTAAAAAATGTAATACCTTCGCTAACGATTTCTATCACCATGTTATACTAAACTGTGTATCTCTACTTTCAGAGAGAGATGTATTTTTCTCAACTCTAATCGATAATCTTGATATTGATGTGGCAGATTCAACTTTGTATTGTATATAGTTGTAAATATAATAAACATGTGAATCTTTTAAAGTTGTGTGTCATTATGATGAGATATACAATCTCATTAAATAACCCAAGTCTAATCATTTTATCAATAATTTTATATTCAACATTTTATATCACACCTTTAGCCCTTCTAAACATCAATCTAATCTTAAATGTAATCTATTTCAGCAATACTCATTTGCACTCTAGCTTTTCTCCCTGCAATCCCTTCTAAAGCTTGTCCCTTGCTCAGGCTAGTGTGTAATTTCTATTGTTCTCTGTTCAGCCAAGCGTATAAGGTATTAGGTATTTAAAGGTTAATTTCATCTAGTCTCTTGGTCAGTATCTTATGTGGTTGTCATCGCGCATGTTGCGGTTTAGTCTTTAGGATCAAGATCATGGTGATCTGGACTGTGTTTTTCCATGTATACAGTATGATAACTCACTCTAATGCGAGTTACAACCTACACTAATAACAATGTCGTAACTCACTATACTGTGAGTTACCACCACATCAAATATTTACACATAGTAGAAAGTGGATACTGAGATTAAACATACTTTAAACTATAGCCAATATAACCATCAACTATCACACACAAAACCACAATAAATATATACACAAGACTAGAGATTACTAACCTTATATACATGGAAAACACAGTCCAGATCACCATGATCTTGATCCTAAAGACTAAACCGACATGCGCGATGACAACCACATAAGATACTGACCAAGAGACTAGATGAAATTAACCCTTTAAATACCTAATACCTTATACGCTTGGCTGAACAGAGAACAATAGAAATTACACACTAGCCTGAGTAAGTTTTGACTCACAGAACAGTGAGTTGTGTAAGTGTTATATTATATATTTGTAGCATTACATATAATCATTAATTATAGTTCATCTAAGTATAATATTTAGCAATTATCTTATTTTCCATATTCCTATCACATTAAAAGCATTATTATTATGGCTACCATAAATGAAGTGCGTGTGTGGATGAATGTGCGTATGTGTGGTTAGATGTGGTTGTATGTAAATTTTACCGTAGTTACTCTTTTAATCATTTGTTGTAAAATATCATCTGCACATGGTATTTCTTCATCCTGCAGATGACGTAAACACCAGCAGTATCACCTATGCATTGAATGCAAGAGCTCAGGTCATACCAACCTGGTATGTTGTTATCATTGTTATTTCAATTATATTTATCATTGAATATTATGTAACATCCATCATATTTGTAAATGTTTATAGTATTCATTTATATATCTGTGGAGTTGTCCGGTAACGTGTTGGCAACAGTAGGTATGATTAGTTATGTATATACATGTACGTGTGTGTTTAATTAAGTGATTTGGATAAAGTTAATTCACTTGTTATGTAGTAATGTGATTCCTGTCAATTACTGATTGTAAACTTATATTGTCATTTTAACATGTTTCAGGCTAAAGCTTTGTTTATTACATTCTTGTAATAAAAGTCCATCCGCCTCCACACCCCAGTGGCTTTGTGGTTCTTGTCACTACAATAACTACATCCTGACGCTAGCTACATTGACATGTATATCAAAATAGAGATGATGGAAGAGCATGACATGCTGGCATTCTTTCTTGGGGCCAATAACAATGATATTGATGAAATAACAAGGCATTTCACTATTTTAGAATTCTCAAAGTATCTGTATAAACTAAAAGATATTCTCAATTACTTGTGGTAATAATCTAGCCAATACCTGACTGCTAATAACCTGTATATATTTGGGAAATGTTCCCATATTCTATGTATGTTTATGTATATATATATATGTGTGTGTGTATGTTTGTTGAGTATTCTGTTAATTATATAATTATATAACCATGATGTTTTGAGGATCTTCGGACCTATCTGGAGGAAATAAAGACATTCATTCATTCATTCATTCATTCATCCTTTGGTTAAAATCTTGTAGGCTTACATTTACAGTACGCACGGCTAATGATTTTACAGTACTTTTAACCTCATTTGAGGATACCGCCACTAATAATCCTCAGACACATATTTAATCTATAATTTACAAAACATATTTTTCACAAAAGTCCAATAATTCTATTTCTTTTTACTTAATAAAACAGGGTTTAAAAGATCATTTTCAATGATCCCTTGAAAAATCAATACAGTCAAGCAAAACATGCTTAGCCGTGATTCATTCATACCAAGGGACACAAAACAGAGGATCTTCACCTTCTTATAAATACCCATGTGTATGTCTTGTATTGCCACCAAATGCTAGTTCATTTACAGTAGAATCAAAAGCTGTATTAACAGCTCTTAACTACATAAATGCTCAAACGAAATATAAGGAGTTCTTTTATATTTTCATATTCCTTTTCCTGTCTTCAGATCATAAACAAAATATTTCTTGCAACCATCTACTTTTACTTAAAATCATGGAATTACAGTACAACCAGAAATTATTGAGAATTTAAGATTTGTACTTTTTATATTTTTTTTCACTCATTACTCACGTATTAAATGTGAATATTAGCAGAACATAACTCCATATTCAAAGACAGGTGAACAGTTAGTTATTTTGTAAAGTCACCATGGGCAGCAATGCAGGCTTCAATGCGGCAGGGTATACTACTGATCAAAGAAGTTAGAAAGTCGTGGTCCATGCTGTCCCAATATCTTTCATTTCATCAAGATTTGTCAGATGTTTCTAATTGACACTTTCCTTCATAAGTCCCCAAACATTTTTCTATTGGATTTAGGTCAGGGGCTATAAGCTTGGCCAATCTAATAAAAGTCATATTTTGGGTCCGAAACCAGGCCTGTGAATGCTTTGAACGATGTTTTGCGTCGTTGTCCTGCTGGAAAAATCCAAAATCTCCATAGAACACGTGAGCAGTTGGACGTAAATGTCCCTCGAGAATATCGGGTGTACCGCTCACTGTTCATATTCCCTTCAAATACACTGAGGGGCGTTGCCCCTAACACAGATATGCCACCCCTCACGTTAAATTTCCGGACTGTACTTTGGGCGCTGATACAAGGTTTTACAGTTTGTTTGGTCCAGAATTTCAGTGTATTAGGAAACAGCCACACAGAACATTTCATCTGAGAAAATCAGATTGTCCCAGTTAAAATGTATATGCTGTAAGCACCAGTTCAACCTTCATGCTCCTTTTGTTCAGGTTTTCATGATCGGTGATGGAATTCCCCTGACTTTTCTGCCAACCCATTGCATGCAGCTCAGTTCTAATTGTCTCCTTACACGGACAGCCACAGTTCCTCTATCAATCGCATATCCAGCCTTATGTTTTCCTAAACTCCTTCGTTTTGTTTTTAGAAACAAGAATACCAAGCCGCCTCCTGTTACCGACAGTCAATTTTCTGGGCCTCCTGCGCCTCCCTTGTGCTCAATGTCATATCCATTTGCAATATGTTTCTAAACACGATAAACAGTGGACACAGGGATGCCTGTTTCTGCTTGAAATCACTTTAGCTGATCTGATGTCCTTGTTATAATACTGTAAAAT